TGCAATCCTATTACCAGATTTTTATTGTTCAAAGGTAACTATTTTGAATGGGCTTACAAGTGAGAAAAGAAATAAGTATGTTAACAAAAGGGTTGATCAGACAGCTCTTATAGGTACATTTGAAGAGTTAATCTGCGTAAAGGAAAAAGAAGACCACTATTGTTTTTCAGTCTACAATGTACTTTGCACTCCAGGAAAGGCAGACAGACTTTGTCCATGTATTTTCAGATAAAACCTCAATGTCAAGCTCTATCTCTTAGAACTTATTTGGTGAAGGTCTGCTGGAGTGTAAGGGTTGGTAGCCACATCGTTCTTGAATGCAGTCATGTTCTGGACAATTACCTACTCCCATTAGCCTAATAAGTATCAACTGATAGTCGGTAATTCATGGCAAACACAAAAGTTTAGAGGATGGCAGAGAAAAATATTAATTGGATAGAAGAGAAAAAATCAGTCACAAATTTGTTATGTCTTTAAAGCACATTACTGTGAATAGCGCTTACTAAGCAGTTTCAATTAGAACATGAAAGTGTGAAGGATGTTGACAGAAAGGAAATGTGGCAGTCATCAGAAATGATGACTGACATGAGAGAGAGAGAGAGAGAGAGAGAGAGAGAGAGAGAGAGAGAGAGAGAGAGAGAGAGAGAGAGAGAGAGAGGAGAGAAGGAGAGAGAGAGAGAATGGAAGAGAGAGAAGAAGGACACAGGAGAAAGAGAGGAAGGGAAGGGGAGAGAGAGAGGAAGGGAGGGAGAGAGATGGGCAGAGAAGGGGAGAAAGGGGCTGTGAGAGGAAGAGGGAGAAAGTGGCAGAGAGGAGTAGAGGGAGAAAGTGGCAGGGAGAGGTAGAGGGAGAGAGATGGGCAGGGAAGAGGAGAAAGGGGCTATGAGAGGAAGAGGGAGAAAGTGGCAGATGCAGGGAGGTAAAGGGAGAGAGTGGCAGGGAGAGGTAGAAGGAGAGAGTGGCAGGGAGAGGTAGAGGGAGAAAGTGGCAGGGAGAGGTAGAGGGAGAGAGTGTCAAGGAGGAGGGGATTGAGAGAGTAGCAGGGAGGAGGGGAGGGAGAGAGTGGCAGGAAGGAGGGGAGGGAGAAATTAGCAGGAAGAGGGAAAGAGTTGGAGTGAGTGAGAGTGAATGAGTGAGTGAAAGAATGAAAGAGTGAAAGAGTGATAGAGAGAGTGGAGAGGAAAGGAAAGGAAAGGAGAGGGATGTAATGAGGGAGGGGGAGAGGGGGAGAAGGAAGGGAGAGGAGAGGAGAGGAGAGAACATTTCAGTAAATAGACAGATAAACGGACTGACTGATTGATTAATTGATTGACAGACAGACAGACAGACAGACAGACAGACAGACAGACAGACAGACAGACAATCTAACTCAATGATTGTCTTACATCTTCTAGAGTCTGTTGTGGCTATAGGTGATGCCACACTCATATATTTCTTAGGCTACATTGAGATTTAAGTTCTAGGTACAAAGGTATATTATAAAAGAATGTGTATTTTTACAGAGGAATTAACAGCTAGTTTGGAGAAGCTGCGTGTGGCCTCAGAAAACCCAAGCCCTGAGCCACTGGATGAGCTGATCAACTATATTCATCAGCAGGGTATGTACCTCTTAACATATTTGATCTGAGTGAAAATCAAAGACTGAAAGTAATATTAGGAAGATTTTGCTTCTTATGAAAAAAAAAAGATAGTAAGGAACTTGAAGTATGATTTTAAAAGATAATTTTTTTGTTTGATATACAGAGGACAGTACAACTGTGTGTGAGGAACTAGTAGCTGGAGGAGTCCTGCCCCTCATTGCTGGATCTATCAACAGCTCCTCAGTTGAGGCTCAAGGGAAAGGGGCAGAATTGGTTGCTGAACTTGCCAAGGTAAAAGCCAGGAGAAATGTATCTTTCATTTCATGTACAGATATTAAACCAAAGCCTTGCAGTTGTATGGGAAACATTGATAAGCTTTGGCATATAGTACTGCAAGCTCTTAAAATTGTATGGCAATAGTGCTAGAAAGACAATTTTGTTACTCAGATAAGGATTCGGTTTGATTAAGAAAAAGAGAAAATGTGAAATATAGTTTAGGAAACTATATATAAATCATTTTTATCCAGGTTGAGAGCTGCAGATTAGGATGTGTTACCAGCGGTCTTGTACCCATCCTTGTGGAGAAAATGTCCAGCACAACAACAGGTGTGGCTCTCCAAGCTTGCCGAGCACTGGGGAATATATGCTATGAACATGGTGAGTAATTGGAAGTCATTTTTACCAAAAGACTGGCCAAAACGGAAGGTGTGATCTAAGAGTGTGTAGCTTTGAGCTATGTATTATGTTAATTAAATGCTATGGTTGTATATGATGATAAGATTACTTGAAGAAAATGCTTTTGCAATATTAATGCATGCATTTATTGAAAAACTTAATTTGTTTGCTCTGAGCCTTTAGCACTTGGCACTTTCTTGTGCATGTAGAAAGCTAGCCAAAATATTGACCTGCACCTTATTTTTTCACAAAGTGCACCAGCTGTTGTATTCACTTCCATCTTAAAAGCATTCTAACTCATTTCCATCCAAGGAGTTACCACACTATTAAGTGTTTTCCATTCATGTTAAATATGTGTAATCTCAGTTTTCTATATAAAGGTCATGAGAGCCCCAGTTTAGATTAGGCTAGTTACTTTTTGGACATAATTCATTTCATATTCAGATATCATCATGAAGATGAACCTCTATTCCAGAAATAGAGGACCCTTTAAGCAGATGCTTCACTGCTAATCCTAACTATGTTTTCATGTTATAGCTTTAAATGTTCTAGCAAAGAAAGTTGTTGTGGTATTCATTACTCATAACCCTGTAAGGTTCAACTTTTATAGTATATGCTCTTTCAGTATCATGTGCAGTGTGCTATGACTGGCACATTCATCTTTAATATTTTAAATAATCAGAATTTTTAAAAATACTTCATTATTCATAGTGTCAGTATTTTGATGATTATACAAAACTAACCTTATTTACTGGTTGTCTATCACAGGTTTGATTGTCGGTAATGTATTTTCCCACAGTAGGAACCCAAAGTAAAAGAATTCCTCCCAGGAAAGAAGGGTCATATATGGGAGGAACATCCAGCATCTCTAGATTGTGAACTGATGGTGAAAGGTAACACCTGAGTGACGGCATTATTAATTGACCTGGCTGTCAGTCTGGGATGATGTGTGTTTGGAGGTGATGCTGACTACCCTGGAGTGTTTCCCTTTAGCAAAGGCTTGAGTGTTAGTTCTGTAAATATCTTAACCATGTTGGAAAGACGACTTTCCTTATGTTGATTCAGGAAGTCCTACAAATTATTCCTTGTTGATAAAGTTCTAATCCTTGTTATATCAAAGTTGAAGCTGAGGTGTGGTCTGTCAAGGACACCATCAGGTATGAAGATAGTTTTAATTTGGTCAACTTACAGCAGTATTTTGTGTGTGTGTGTGTGTGTGTGTGTGTGTGTGTGTGTGTGTGTGTGTGTGTGTGTGTGTGTGTGTGTGTGTGTGTGTGTGTGTGTGTGTGTGTGTGTATGTGTATGTATGTATGTGTGTGTATGTGTGTGTGTGTGTGTGTGTGTGTGTGTGTGTGTGTGTGTGTGTGTGTGTGTGTGTGTAAAAATATGTAAAGTGTGTTAACATACATGTATACTTGTAGTTCGTGATATATATGTGTGTGTGTGTGATGCGTGTGAATATATGTAAAAATATGTAAAGTATGTTAAAATACTTGCAGACTGGTAGCTCATGATGTTAATCCTTTTCAATTTACATATGTATGTTAAAGAAGATTGCTATATTACATATTAATATCAACAACTAATATTGATATTACCGCAATTTGTTGAAGTGTAGTCATTGGGGCGTAAAGACCACAGACCAGTGTTTCTCTTCCATTTTTTGTACTCTGTATATTATAGTGCTTTCAGCTGATAATAATATTGTATATTTTGTTACAAATCAGTGAGGCAATTGATGCTGTTTGCTTTCAGTCAGATGCAAAAAATGTTGTGAAAAAAGGCAGAATTTTAAGTGTGATATTCCTGACTTTTGGATAGGAGTAATTTACTACTTGCGAAGCCAACCATGGCCCCCCAAAAATTCTCTCTTGTCCTCAAATTTGAGAACTATGGCCTTAGACCTATGTTTTCAAACTGCGAAATGCCTTTTCATATTTTATGATATATGCAACAACTGTCTTTTAACTAATTATTTAAATGAGAAAAAAAATGTTGACAGTTTTCTTGTGAAAACATCTATCTGAACCTACTGACTCCACACAAAGCCTTCAAAATAATGTTAGTCTCACATGAACAGAACAGTTTTTTATGATCCCAGAATCATCCAGCAAATTGGATTACACAACTCTTAGAGAGATGATATAATATATTGCTCTTTTTGGTCACAGATTAGGATACGGTTATATGTTTGTTTGTGCCTAATCTTCTTTGAAGCATAGTATAGTGTGTAGGGCATCATAGACGAGAATGGTAACAAAAGTGAGGATGAGAGAATATTTTCACATCGTGGTAAGAAAGTTCATCTTGATTTCTGTGATATGATAAGTACATGTACTTATTGTATTTGTTAGATAGCAAACCTCCCACTGCTCATTGTAGTTATGATGTATTTACTTGAAAAGCATGACATGCATGCCAGTCTGTGAACTAAGAATCATCTGTTTTTGTTTTATTTTTTAGCACATTTAATGTTTTTTTTTTTTTTTTTTTGTATAGCTTTGCATGACGATTAGTTGACCTTGTCCTTACCTAATGCAGATTCTGTGTTGCACATTTACTACATAGTTCATTACTTTGCTTATTTAGTTGCTGTTTCCAATATGTTTGGTTTGAATTAATATTTTATTTTTTAAAATGATGATTAGAAGTACATTGTACTTCATTTTCTTGATTCAATATTGTGTTATATAAAATGATTATTTTTTTAAACATCAACTGGAATGTGCCAAGTTCATAATATTTTCCCCTTGTTTCACTGGAATTTATTTTGGATACTAAAGGGTAGTGTATGTTTTGAGCATTTTATAGGTAGTGGTGCACAGTATATAGCATTTTGGATTAATTTTGAATATAGCAACAGGAGTTTAGTCATGTGTTCCAGCAAGGAGTTTTTCATGAGTGTATCAGGAAGGAACATTCCAAGTGGTGTGGACGGATCCAGTCATTATCACTTTAAAATGTTTTCTTGACTGCAGTGTTCCTTCCAGACGGAGGCAGAGTGAGTGTAATGGAGTCTGGGGGTGCAGCGCAACTCCTGCATTTGCTCCAGAGGGCTGCCTCTCTGCCCAACACGCCTGATGATCACCAGCTCCGTCTAGTGGCTACAGGGTTTCTTCTAAACCTTCTTAATTCCTATGACACAGTTCAGGTGTGTAAGAATTCTTTCTAAGTATTTGTAGATTAATGGAAGGATAGGCTTACATGTGTCCTCTCTTATTGGCTCTGGTTTGCTAACCAGTTATAAGTCAAATTTTCTTGTATATTTCTTCTTCTTTTCTTCTTTATCTCTTCTCTTCTTCTTTTCCTTTTATTCTTTTTCTTCATTCTTCTTTCTTCATCTTCTTCTTCTTCTTCTTCTTCTTCTTCTTCTTCTTCTTCATTGTCTTCATCATCATCATCTTCTTTGTCTTCATCATCATCATCTCCATCATCATCATCATCATCTTCATCTTCATTTTCATCCTCTTCATCTTCCTCTTGTTCTTGTTCTTCTTCTTGTTCTTCTTGTTCTTGTTCTTTTCTCCTCCTCCTCCTCCTCCCTCCTCCTCCTCCTCTCCTCCTCCTCCTCCTCCTCCTCCTCCTCCTCCTCCTCCTCCTCCACCTTTCCTCCTCCTCCTCCTCCTCCTCCTCCTCCTCCTCCTCCTCCTCCTCCTCCTCCTCCTCCTCCTCCTCCTCCTCCTCCTTCTTCCTCCTCCTCCTCCTCTCCTCCTCCTCCTCCTCCTCTCCTCCCTCCTCCTCCTCCTCCTCCTCCTCCTGTTCCTCTTCTGTAGTAGATCTTTGCATCTTATCAAATTTTATGGTCAGTTACCAATGTTTAAGGAATAATAATAATGATAATGAGAAGATGAAAAATCATCTTTACCTTCTTCTTTTTCTTTTTCGTTGTCTTTATCATCATCATCTTCATCTCATTTTCTTTTATCTTCTGCATGGTCTTTTTCATCTTCATAATCATCTTCATTTTCATCTTCATCTTCTTTTTCTTCTCCTCCTTCTCCTTTGTCTTCATCTTTATCATCATCATCATCTTCATCTCCTTCATCTCCTCCTCCTCCTTCCTCCCTCCTCCTCCTCCTCCTCCTCCTCCTCCCCTCCTCCCTTTTCTCCCCCTCTCCTCCTCCTCCTCCTCCTTTCCTCCCTCCTCCTCCTCCTCCTCTCCTCCTCCTCTCTTCCTCTTCTTCCTCCTCTTCCTCTCTAGTAATCTTTGCATGTAAATTTTGTGTGATCATCTGCCAGCGTTCAAGGGATGCTAAACCAGTTTTACTTGGACATTACAATAAAATTTATCACTGAAACTGATGTTTTGGTAAAGTATTGTAATCAACTCTTATATCACATAGAACTTAATATAGGAAGTTGCATTTGCTTTTAATGTGATTTTGGTTTTCTAAAGCATTTGTAATTTTAGCTGCTATTTTACTGTAATTATAAGATCACTAATTAAAAAAAAAGATTCCCCATTGTCAGGATCAGTCTATGGAGGCAGAACTAGTTGATGTTTTGTGCCAGTATCTGGACAAGTTTGCTGAAGATGAAGACATTCCTACCCATGTTTTGTTGTCACTTACCTGTATGGCAGACACTGGTAAGTAAAGGATTCCCCTTATCTTCAGATTCCCATTGTCATATTTTACTCCATACATAATAGAATACTTAGATATAATGTATATTTCATTACTTCTTTGAACCCACTTTTTTGCCTCTTTCTTTTTGCCATTTAATCTCATTATTTTTCTTTCTTTTATTTAATCTATTTTTTTATTTCCATATAAACCTTTCATAACTGAAGAGGTTAGGTAGGATGATACTACCAGTACTTAGGTATTGGGAGTATCATCTTACCTATTTACTTGCATGGAGTGTTACCCTGGCTTCTAGGACAAATTGTCTATACACTGATGTTGAGATATGTAATTCTTGAGGTATCATAGAACATTTTGCTTTGAAGGTAGATGAATAGAAATTAGTAAAGTTAATATTCTGTTTTAGCAAGAGGAAATTTATTGCTATTGTTGAAAATAAAGATTAATTGGATATTACTTGGTTTAAGAAGGTTTATTTTAAAATGTTATGTACCATTCAGATATAAAATTTCTTGTTTCAAGTCTCAGTCAAATGATTTATTGATGTAGACCAACCATGCACTAGAATGCTTGGACTTTCATAGAAGGGTGACTGATTATGAATAAAAATGACCTAGAATGCTTGGACTTTCATAGAAGGGTCACTGATTATGAATAAAAGAGATTACCCCCCCCCCTACATTTCTATATTTGCCATTACTGTTATTATATCTTTATATAAAATTAATTAATGAGTTTTTTGTTCTATTTTTTACCTAAATAACTGCAAAAGCATCCAACTATAATGCAAAGTCCATATGATAAAAGGCCCATAGACTGTGATTAGACTGAGATATTATGGCATGACATACTCATGTTATAAAAATATCTTATGAAACAAAATTTTATTATACCTTTCATTCCAAAACATTGTGTCAGAGGTGGGACGGGGACTTGTTGTATCCCGAGACATCACGCCACAGCTTGTACGAGTATTGAAAATCAACGAATCAGCTGAGGTTACAGAAACATGTCTGGAACTTGTCACCAATTTGGCTGAGACAGGTAAATTTTATTGAGTGTATTTTTATTATTATTATTATATATTATTATTATTATTATTATTTTTTTTTTTTTTTTTTTTTTTATAAACTCAAAAGAAGATAAATGCTGCAGTGTTCTAAGACCAAAGAACAGCATTTTTATTGTGAATTTAGGCATACTCAGTATATGTATAATATTTTGGTAATAGAATATGTAGGAAACTTATTGAACTCTTTTTATATGCTAGAATGTGTGAAGACCCAGTTGGCAGTTGGAGGTGTTTGCGAGGCTGTAGTAGAGGTTGTAAGACGCCATCGGAACAACCCAGCGTCTGATCTTTCTCCTCCCATAATCAAGACTGCAACTGACCTCATTGTCCTCATTCTTGTTGGAGGTAAGTCTGAGGAATTTTATATCTTTCTGTTGCATTTTTATAGTTTTATTATTATCATGATATTGATTTTTTCGTCGCCTCAGTTTTTTCAGTAATTATATGGAAGTCATTTAATCAAGATTAAATGTAGGATATTAATTTCCTCAATAATTGTCATAGTTTTATGTTGTTTTTTTAGTTGAGATGATATTCTATTGTTTCACAATTTTGTGATTTTCATTATCAAGCTTCAATGAGTCAGATTCTTTAAAACAAGGAAACAGCTATTGTAATATTTGACATCATTTGAATGCTGGTATTTGTTAAGTGCACTAACATTATTATAGATACATTAAATCACAAGCTCTATAATATTTCTACCTTGCAGATGAGAGCATGGGTATAATCTATGGTGATGGTTCGGGTTCAGTGTACCAGGAACTTGTGGGATGGCTGACCTCTGACCTGGAGGACCTGCAAATAGCTGGTGCTCTTGCTATGGGAAACTTTGCCCGCAGTGGTGAGTTTCATTGTCATCTTGTGTTCTAGATGATCAGTAATGAAGTTTGTGTATGTGTTTTCATTAGATGATTTAGAGATCTCATGCCAGTACTGCAAAGTATGCTTGAGAATTTTTGTGGGCTTAACTGTTAACCCCTATAATGCAGGCAATGTGACTATTACATTTTTGAAAAATTTGGCTTGAGGGCTGAGTGGCATGAAGATGCTGCCACGGCAAAATTTAACTGAGGGCTGTGGTGACGGGAATGTACAATTGTGAGAATTTTGGCTGAAGGCCTTGATGACAGGAACGACTCGCCACGTGTGCACAAAGCATTTAGAGGCTGATTAGACTTAGTAGGCAGTTAGGAAGGAGCTCTTGGATTATTCATAATAATAAACAAGTGTTGAATGTACCATTCTTAAGTGATGACCTAAAAAGTGCCGGCATCAGGGAGGACATGACTTCTATGCTCAAGATCCTATTCTTGCCCGTCGCAACTGGCAGGGCAAGTTGTATTACAGAAAATTAAATATTATGATAAAATAAAAAAATAATGCAATTAACAAATTTTTTCTAATTATTGTTGTTATTGCACTGAGTTATAGACTACCTAGGTAAATGATATAGTAATATTGCAAGGAGTCCTAAAGCTGCACTTAAGTTTTCATATGAGCCCAGCCTACAAGCCATACACCCGTGAGAGTGAAATGAGTGACTGAACGAGTGAGCATGCGTGCGTGTGTGTGTGTGTGTGTGTGTGTGTGTGTGTGTGTGCATACATGTAAAAGGTTTTCTGTGTACTTTTCATTTGTATACTGTACATAGAAATATTTGCAATATATACCTATATTCTTATGCTCACTAGCCCTCAAAAGATTCTTTAACCCAGTCATGGTGGGTGTTGTGCTATAATATCATGGCAAATTGTCACAGACACTGGGGTGTACATACACTGGTGTAAGTTGGACAGTTGAATAAGCACAAGTGGAGTATGATTGTCAAGCATGTATCTGCCTATCTAAATGAAAATTATATTTGTTGTTATTGATATAAAGATTTATAGAACAGTCTGGTACAGTGTTCAAAAGTTTTTGACATATGCTGTAGGAAATGGTACCATATGATAAAATAACATTGTCTACTTTCTTTCTATTATACAGCATATTGTTTAAGAAATACTTTTAAGATTTACATAATATATTGACATACTTGTAAGTGCATGTGTACCATATGCATATAGATATTCTTTTATGCATATGTATATATAGATATGTATAAAATGTAGTGATTTTTATACATAGGCATGCTGTAAACAATTGCAATTTTCTTCATAGATGCCCATTGTATCAAGATGGTAGAGAGTGGAATAGCAGATAAATTACTGAAGGTTTTGTCGAGCCACAACTCTGGAGAAGGAGACATCCGCCTGCAGCATGCTATCCTCTCTGCTCTGAGGAACTTAAGTATTGCACGGCAGAACAAACCAGTCTTAGTGCAACAGGTAAAGAGTACTTTGTGGTTTTAGCTTAGCTCTGTAGTTTATGTGGGGCCATTTTGGTGTATCTAATGTGTATGTAATTAAATTGGAATGTCATATTGATCAGTTTTAGTTTGGTTGAGATATGGTAAAATCTTGTTTTTTTAAAAAGGAACAGTTTTGTTTAGCAGCAACAAAGCATTTTTTTCATCTTCACAAGGGCTTTGAATTATAATATTGTATTGCAGATATGTCTCTGGAAATTGAAGCTGTAATAAATACAGATATTGCATGAGATACAATTTGAATACCTTTTTTATTTCCACTGCATTCTCTTTGTTTATACAGTTTCTGTGTTGGTGGAATAAACTGTGACTATAATTGAATACTACACTTCTGTTCCTTCTTTATCTAATAGGGTGCACTTGAAGTCCTGCTCCCCATGGCTACAGCAATACAGACATTCCCTGTGGTATTTAAGCTGCTAGCGACACTGCGTATGATCATTGATGGACAGACTGAAGCCGCTGTCAAGGTAAGATAATTGCTTGAGATGTATAAGGTTAGTTTGGTAATAATAATTTTGATTGTGGGATTATTAAGTATCCTTATCATTTAGGAATCAGATTTTGAATAGATATATGGCCAAGAAGGCTATCATAGCAGATAATTCATATGCACAGGAAGAGGTAGGGTGTTCTAGGCTTTAACCCCAAAAGTCATGTAATGAAGGCTTATCAGAAGTAGGAGGAATTGCTACAGAGAAAGAGATCAATAGATTTTGATAAGATCTCAAGTGATCCCCTTAATAGTAGCAGTAGGGATGACAAGTAATAATAAAGAAAAAATAATGGTGATATGAATAATCATAGTGATAATAATAAGTGATAATTATAAAGAAAATGTAATAAGAATAATGGTAAAAATAAAAAGAAGGATCATTATCATGATTTTGGTACAACAATAATGATCATTATAATGATGCTGCTGCTTATGAATCATCTATTCACAAGTTACACTTATATTTTATGCCTAAAATCATATCCATGTGACTGTGGACTAGAAGTCTCTTCATTCTGATATAATGTGGGCATCTTGTACCTGGTGGACTTGATTTATTTTTATGTAAAATGGGGTGGTAATAAAATGAATATTAAAGAATGATAGATATGCATCATGTGAATCTATGAAACTCCCATTCTAACTTTTATCATCATTATTGTTATAATTATTATCATTATCACTTCTTTGAGGTAAGTACACGGCATTGAAGTATTCAGACTCAGTTTATGCATAATTATCATTTACAAGACCATCCAAGGGAAGAAGGAAAATAGGAGTGGATGTGAAAGCAAGGGGAGAGAGGGAAGGGAAGGGAAGGGAAGTGGGCTTAAGGAGGAAAGTGAAATGGGTATGGGAGATAGAGGGAAAATTGAGGAGACTTAGCCCAGTGTCACCAGAAAAATAGTGTTCAATGTAGTTTTGTTTTGTTAAATCTCATTATTAATGCATAGACAGCTAAAAGCACTTGACCTCATGAAATGTCACATTTAAAGTGGTGACAAAATCCTTGTGGAACCATCTTTGTGTAAAGACAATTAATAAATGAAACTCTACTAAACTCACAGTGGGCATTGCATGTACAGCCATAATCCTGTTTCTATCACACCCGGTCAGCAATTAAATAATTGAAATGAATAGTTGCTCTCAGTAATAAGTTTGATGAAAATCATATTGTAATTTATACTGTGGACACCTATTATGGTGGTTTCTAGAAATTCTCAGACTTACTGGTTATTCTAAAAATGTAACATTTTCCTCTTTCATGCAGTAACTGAGTTTGTCTGAATTATGTAGGTGAAATTCTTACATTGGCTAATGATAATCAATTATTTACTGTAATTATTCACATTGGATGGTTTGGGTACCTGGCAAACTCACAGTAATGTTACCAGTTGCATAGGACACCTGTGAAGGCCCATACTGAATATGGTGTTGAGCTTTCGTTTGCCCCTAACTGTATATCTATGTGGCTGTTGGCAGGCAACCTTGAGAGCATGGAATAGGAAGAGGGAGCAGACCAACAGCCACACTACTTGCTTCCAAACTGAAAAAATCCTATGACCACATAACTAGTGCTTCAGTGGCATCCAACCAGAAATACTTTAAGAAAACACAAACTTACATGCACCTTATTTACAGTATTCTTGTTGAAAAGTCATGTTCATGAACAAGCAAGTGATGTTTGTGAAATTGTTCAGGCAAAGAGAAAGAAAAGGAA